GATTTATAGTTACAGCGCTACTAGTAAATTCTACCTTTAACACTAATTCTAGAAAAGACACATTCGAAACAAAATATACCAAGTTTTATAATAAGAACTAAGGAGTCTTTACCCCAACTGTTATTTCTCTTCATAGAAATAAGATAAATGTTGGGCCAGCAGGTGATGAGGAGGTTAAGGTGCTAGATCCTACATGGCCAGCTGTGTAGTTCAGGTCCCGACAATGCAGCTTGAAAATCAAGCCACATGTGTATGCATGTGTGTCCAAAGGCATGGCCACCTCCCTAGGGGATGATTTCTCACTTTCTTGCTCTCTCTGGTTCACTCTGGCAGGTGCACATGCCCTACAGAAAAACAAACAAACAAAAAACCTTAAAAAAAATTTAAAAAAAGAAAAAATAAGTAAGATAAAAATGAATGATAGAAGTTAAACTCTATGAAGACAAGAAATTCTGTCCCATTTAGTGACTTATTCCTAGTGAACTCTACTAATACAAAGAAGATTCTCAGTATCAGCTGGACTGTGCTTAAAACACAGAATGCTCTCAATAGTTGTTGTAAGAAGTAATGCATGGATATTGAAAGACATTTTTGGACTGCTAAATTTAAGAAACAATATATGATACACCATGTCAGAAAGGAAAGAAAGCAACAACATTTTACTAGGTTGATCTGAATCCTTTCTCTCTTTTTTGACTGTCAAGAAGTGTCATGAAAAAGTGATTTCAGTAAGCTGGTAATTAAGAAGTTATCACTGGCCTTATGATTTCATGTAAGAAGACTAGACATATAGTCTATCTAATATCATTAGGGCTAAAAAAAAAAAGGAGGAAAAAATAAGTAAAGCTGAAAAAAGATAAGTGGATACAAAAGCATTCACTGCTGAATTGCTTCCTTGCCATTTTCCCAGCTTTGATGAACTGTGAATAACTAAGATTCTTCTTTATCAATTTTCTATTACTTCTAAGTTGTTTTGCACATGAAAACATGAAGCCATCAACATCATTAAATGTTAAGAAAATAATGATATAAAAACTGAATTTGAATTGTTTTGTCAAGTTAAAGAAGATTTTACTTTTCTTAAATCCCTACATGTATATTTCTCTCCAGTCTTATTATAATTAGTTACGTTCATCTCTGTCTCTCCTCAAAATATTATAACTCTTTGTGAACAACAGCCTAATCTGTCCCATTGTCTACCTGTTAGATTGTATCTATTGATGCCTAAATAAAATACATTCCTATTAAAATTCCCTAACAGATTTATTTAAGAAGGTCTACTAATAGAACCTCCAATAAAATCTTGACTATTTGTCCCAAAGTAGAGGCCAAGAGCATCTAATGCCATGCCACATACTGTGCAAAAATGCGTATTTTAACCTTGAACTGTATTTTCATGTTTGTGTTTGAACATGGCTGTGTTACAGCTTCAGTCTTAGAAGAAACATGTCTATGATCAAAAAGAATGTTCCAATACCAAAGTTAAGTCATTAATTCATGATTAATTACTTTAATGATGAGGCGCAGAAGTGACCAGGTTTTGGAAAGATTCAGTAAGAGATTAAATAAAAGCTTTAGAACCATCCAATTAGAAACAGTAGACATTCTCTAACCAAGTATAGATAGTGCATACCAAGTGATTAGCTCCTTCTGTCAATCAGAAGTGCACTGCTGGTGTGGTTTTTTACACAGGACTCTAATTGCTTCTTTCCCTTCAATTAGTTAATAACTGTAAGTTGCACAAGAAAATAAAATAATAGGAGCATCTGAGTACAAGATTTTTTAAAAAAAGAAAAGCTAGGAGATTACAGCAAAAGATAGCTTAGGATCAGAATACATCAAAGCTATCAGACATGACTAAACATTTAAGCATTTAGGCATTAGAAATTTACATAGTAATTCCAATAAAATAACAGAATTTAGTTAAATTCTATTTGATTTAGACTAAGCTCTTTGAAAATGACTATTTATGGTATCAATAGACCCAAATAGCTTATGAAATTACTTACAACAAAGGAAATTCAGCTCATCAATAAGAGGTAGTATCTCCAGAAAAAGCCCAAAGTCAAAAAGAAAAAAAATTGTATTAAGTACAGAGACTATAACTCTCTTAAAATGGAAAAGGTTTAAAGACTCCATTATTAATCCCATACAGAGTGGCTCCACATTGAACACTGTCCACCTATCATGGCATCTTACATTTGCGCTATAGGCATCAACTAACAGATTTACTCATGAATTTAAGCCTAAGGTAAGTTTTAACTGTAATTTTTTTTTTGAGAGGTACTTTGCTATAGGGCACAGGCACTCACCAGAGAGACAGAGAAAAACAGAGAGACAGAGAGACAGAAAGCAAGAAATCACCCCCTGGGTGAATGGCCACGCCACAATCCCTTCTCTTCCATTCTCCTCTCAGGATCTTGGGCATGCACCCACATGCACCGGGCATGAGTTTAAGCCACCGGGTCTGAGACTCGAACCACGGTTGACTACATGGAAGTCCAGTGACATAGCCATTATGCCAGCTGCTGGTCCCAAGTTTTAAACATAATTTTGATGGCTAGCAGAAAAAAGAAAATAGATTTGCCCTGGGTTTTTTTGGACTATCTTTCTACATTAAAAGGTCTACAAAAATACCACACATCTCCAAGACACTTCCCTTTAGATGGTTTGAACAAACACTTCTCATGTGTGAATTCCGTGCCACCAACTATAACTCTCATTCTGGACTATCACTGTCACCTACATAGGTAATCAGAAAACTGCCCTTCCAATTGCACTATGACATACCCCTTAGTCTCCATACACTAACTTCTTAATTAATCCTCTTCCCATCAAGTCCTCCAGAGAATTTTGTGATTATAAGTACGTATTCATACACGTCCTTCAAATCTCACCTCTGCCATTTTTTAAAGTAATTATTTTATTTAAATTTATTTATTTATTTAAATTTGACCAGAGAGGGACACAGTGTGAGAGAGAGAGGGACAGTGAGAAAGCAAGCCTCCAGGTCTGGGACTCGAACTGTGATTGGTCATGTGGGAGTCCAGAGCCCTCAACCACCATGCCACCTGCTGGCCCCTCTTGCCTATATCCTTGAACAATGTATTACTCCCTCTGTGCCTCGGTTTCCTCATCTATAAAATGAGAACAGTAGGGAACCAGCAGTTAGTGTAATGGCTATGTCGCTGGACTCCCACGTAGTCGACCGCAGTTGGCGTCCCAGACCCAGTGGCTTAAAACTCATGCCGGGCGCGTGTGCGTGCCCAAGATCCCGAGAGGAGAATGGAGGAGAAGGGATTACGGCATGACCATCCCCCTGGGGGGTGATTTCTCGCTTTCTGTCTCTATGTCTCTCTCTGTCTGTCTGGCGAGCGCACGCGCCCTATAGCGAAAAAACCTCTCCAAGAAAAACAAAAACCAAAACCGAGAACAATAACATTATCTACCTCACAATTATAAAGATGAAATATTCTAGTTATCGGTAAGGCACTTAGAACACTGACAACACACTATCTGTTATTATTAAATATTTGCAATTTCAATTCTCAAACTTACAGATGTTAAATCATTAGATTTGCAGACATTATAAGAAAACAAACTTCACTGTTATCATAAGAATTCAAATCCTGATCAAACTCTCCTGAAAACAAACTTGTACAGACAGCAAGACTGACAAACACAAATAGCCAGTGCATCTTACACCAGCATTCTGGGATAAACTTCTGCTTGCTGAGACCTCACTACTGTGAAGAGAGAAGAATATATGACAAAGGGAGTAATCCAAGCAAAAGCGAGGTAACAAGCACAAGATGACAACGTGCCTGCAACACTTTTATAATGAGCAGTGGGGCGAGGTGCAAGCAATTATACTTTTTTAAAGAATTGCTGAATTTACTTATTCTTATTTCATTTGAGTAGAGAGAGAGAAAAAGAGAAAAGTGAGAAAGCAAGCCACAGCAAGCCGCCAGGTCCGGGACTTGAACTATATATAGCCTGCCATGTGAGAGTCCAGCACCCCAACCACCACATCGCCTGCTGGCCCTGCAATGATACTTTTTTGAGTATGCCTTAAATCTGAGAGCATTCTGAAAAGCAACTTGGTCACTTGAACCAATCCACCTACCATAGAAAAATGCTTAAGTTTGAAAAAGAACTGTTTGTAAATGTACTAAATATATTGAAAGGATTCTAAATTCTCATTATTTTTTAAAATAACACACACTTTCAAATATCACTCTAATTTTCAATTACTTAATAGGGAAATGAATTCCAAAACGCAGTAGCAAATTTTCTTCCAGTTCTCACAGGCCAATGATTTTCTTTTCTAATTTACTATTGTGTGCTAATGTTCTTCAGAGAGTGTGCCAAAAGAGTGAGTGGAGAGTGGGGAGGTGAGGAACCATTCCCTCCAAGGTCTCTTCTCCATTTCTCCCTTCTTTCAGGATTCTGGGCATGCCAAAACATGCCTGGCAGGTTTTTCAATCCACCAGGTCCAGGAACCATGCAGTCGGCCATGTGGGATTCAGGTGCCTGAAACATCACACCGCTGACGGGCCCTAATGATCTCTTTTAAAGAAATCATACTACTATCAAAATAAAATTTTAAAAAGATACAAGATTCTATGCAGAGAGTTTCTCCAAATTCATTCCCAAGTACATAGCTCCTCTCTCTGAAAATGTAGCCTAGTTTTCAGGCACCTAAGTTCTTTACCATAAGAATAACCTGCTCTTATCATTTACAGGTAATATTAGAAAAGTAACATTCCATTATTAAACAAGTGAAATGAAAAGATATGCTTTTAATCCATATTCTATTCAATACAAAGCTTAAGCCTTGTTTCCTTCAATATTCAAAATAAACAGGTGTATTTACCACCACAGACTAAGCCCAAAGGAACAGCACTAGAAAGGCACCTCACAAAGTTTTTGGAAGAACCAAGTAAAAATCATGTTCATTTTTGCATAGGCACTTAAACGCATGACATTTTTACTCTTACCTTTTAAATGCTTCAGCTGGGTTCCTTTCACATTCCCCAGGCTGTAAGAGGCTCTGGACTGCCGGGTCCCTTAGCTTGTCCTCATATCCTTGGAGAAGTCCACTGCGGCAGATCTGGGCAACAAGACTTCTGATAAACCCTCCAACACACAAAGTATCAGAGTCCTGGGCTTTGCAAAAATGAAAGGCCAAAGCCTGCCGGTGTAAACCTCTCTGCACGCTTGTAGGTGAACTTGGCCATAAGAGCTCAGTACACAGGGCTGTCTTGCCACTGCCAGGCCCTCCCACCAACAACACCCCCCAGGCAGCTCCTTTTCCAGAGACAGCACTAGCATTATTCCCAGAATTCATGACAAGGGATGGTGTGTTGACAGCACTATTGCAGCTGTTGGTTTTCTCCTGGAGGCAATGCTGAAGCTTGTGGAAAACCCACTCCCTACAGTAAAACTGCTTCCCTTGCAATAAACTCGTTTGAGCCATCTTGCAGACTTTCTCTTCCCAAGGATTAGTCATAATAGGCTTTTTATCTTCAACATGAGCTAGAATCAGGAAATGTCAACACAGGTCTTTACATCCATTAGGACCTAAGTTGCATTAAACTGACTTTGAATGACAAAATAACCAGTCACAGTAAAATTCAACAGCCACAGAGTCCATCTGACAATAGACTGTGCATCACTTGGCTCCTTATTCTTGATTGGCAGAAAACGTATCAGTTTAATTGTAGAACGGATGGGAAAAGGCCCAGTTCCAACGCTCAGCCACTATTTCCCCTATATCTTGAGAGGTCACGTAACTCCATAGTCACATCTGGAGCTTATGTGATTGTAGATGTTTCAAGTATACAGATGAGACAATACATCTGGAAAACGAAAGAGAAAGCCCTATCACAGTTTGTATAAACTTCTCCAAATTTCAAGTGTTAATTCTGTATCTGAAAATTAGAGGCAGAAAAGCTGTCCATTATACTAATGTCATCAGAGAGATTAGATTTATACAGGATGTGGATAGCTCTGTGTTTCTTGATGAAGGATGATCACTCAAAAGTACTAGTTCTTGCTAGTTTCAGACATCTGGGCAACTGCCAGGGGACTGTTTCAGATTACAGTCTCTTAAGTGGCAGAAACGACAGACCACTGTTAACACCTTCTTAATTCAAAGCTTTCATAAAATGCATTTTTCAAGATAGCAGATTCTTAATAAACCTGTTCACAGGTTTCTTGGTTTTAAGACGTCCGGGTAATCAACAATTTCCACAAGTCACTAAAGCAAAACAAACAAAAATATCTTAGTGCAAAGTATCACATGTTAGTTAAAAACTTATTTAACACCTGCTAATCTCAAAAAAAAAAAAAAACCACACCCACAGACTTCATTTTTGGCAGTTTCAAAAAGTTGGACATTTACCAGAACAATTATAAGGAAAACCCTTGCCTATTTTTTCTTCTCCACGGTTGTGCTTCCCAAACAGCCACACTGTAAGCAAATTACCCTACACTAAAAAAAAAAAAAAAAGCAACTCACTGTACAAAGGGGAAAAAAGATACTTTATGCACATCAGTGACATCCTTAACTCCAGGCAAGGAGCTCTTTTCAACTAGCTTTGTAAGAATAGTGCCAGCTACTACGGAAGCTCTGTTAACTTGCACAGACCAGTCAGTCAAGGTCTCCCTACTCAACTAACCACACTTCTTTGTTGATAGTTTGCACAAGCTAGGGGAACATTACCAGGGTTGCGGTTGGATGGGAACTGGTTTAAGGGGGCGGGCGGGGAGGGGGGTGATTGTTCTTCATGAATGATAAACACAAGCACAACGTGATCTTTCCTTTCTCTGCGCCAAGGATGGAAGTGTAGGATGCGGATGCGGATCGGGAATAGAATCCACCACTCCGGCCGGAGAAAAGGCTCCAGGAGAGAATTCCTTCCGAGGCAGGAAAGGGTTAGGAGTAGAGCGCTTCAGTGCTAGTGGGTGTCTGCCTACGGTTCCGGCCTCTAGCTCCAGCTGATAGACAAAAGGAACTCCGGGATTCCCAGCGACTGGAACCACCTTGGGTTTGAGCCGCCCCAAGGAGCCACAGGGGGGCCACCTCGGAGAGGCCAAGAGCGGAGGTCCACCCTTTCAGCCGGCTGCGAGCGCCAGAGCACCCGCCCCACCCCGAGACCGGGGTGTGTCTTTGGAAGGGGGAGGGGGTGCCGGGGTCCGTGCCGATCCCTGACCAGGGGTCGCCTCCCGGTCGGTTTGCAACTGTGCGCCCACCCCGCGCCCGACTCCAGCTCCGACCCTGCCCACGGCGGAGCGAGCAGGGAGGTCGGATCTGGGCCCGAGACTGGAGAGGGTGGGTGTGTGGGTGGGTCAGGTCCCAGCTCCAGCCCCAGCCTCCGAGCTCCCAGCC